AGTCTCCTCTTCTGCCCCAGAATGTGTTGTTCACGCTGGGTCACGTTCAAGCCTTCCTGGGCACAGACAGTCCAAGCCTGGCTTTTGTCTCTCCAAATAGAGGAAATTCTAGATATTTACAGGAAGCTGCTCTGGGATGCAGAAGGAAGTCTGGAATAAATCTTACTTTCTTCCCTGTAAACCAGCCAGCCATCATCTGAAACATTTTTACAGGGCAGAGGCGACACGATGGTCAGCAATTGATCAATCCCCGCAACTTCCCCGAAGCAGTCCTGTCCTTTCATGTGGGCACGCCCACGGTGTTTACGGCAGATTATACTTCCTAAAGGTCACTGTTTCCATGTCTCCCATCCCGTGTGCCCTTCTCACAGCGTGAATCTGCCACATTCACACTGTGGCATGAGTCTGTCTTGCCAAGATAGACTTGCCAAGGCATGAGACTGTCTTGCCAAGGTGAGTCTCCACCTTGAACATGGGCCGGCTGGTGTCTGAAGTGAAGTAATACCATGTGATTTCTGAGGTTAGGTCATAAAAGGTAACACAGCCTACATCTTGTTTCTCTTGGGATGCTTGCTCTTGGAGTCCAACCATCAGGTTGAGAGGAAGCCCAAGAAGCCACGTGGCGAGACCACATGTAAGTGTTTCAGGACTTTTCCAAACGGGACGTATTGCAAACATTATAAGAACTAACTGAAGGGATTAAAGGCACGAATGTATGAAAAAGTAGTTTGAAATAAACCCTTGGTTGGAGATGGCTTTAGAAATTCAGGAGTCAATCTATTCCTAATGTTTTCTCTAGTAAAGAGGACATTTATCATAGCAACTTCTGGTCTGGATTAGAGGAGTAAGAATTATAGAACTGTAGTGCTAAGAAGAGATAACGGAGGTTATCTTTGTTCCAATAAGAAAAGTCCCAGAGAGACAAGGTGGTACCAGGATCCCAGGGTCCAGGGTAGTCTCTGAAGGATGACATCAGAAGTGAGGGGGAGGCTGAGCTCAGTGCCTGAGCCCTAAAGCAGCCCCAGCTAGGTCCCTCGGGAGCTGAGCTGGTCCTTGTCAACCTGCAGCATACAGTAGTGACTAAATCAAGGAAGATTAAACATCCCAGACCCAGCTGGCAACCAGGAGATGTGTGACAGCAGACAAAGCATGGTTTGCTTTGATTCAGTTCAGCAATAGCCCCTGTTAAGGACGTCACTAACTCAAGGGATCCAGAGAGATTTGGCACCAAGGGCAAAGGTTAGACTGAATAGCCACCTCCTCAACCCTGACAGACCGCTGTGTGTGGGATGTTCACTTACCAATTTTCCTCTTTTTTGTTGTTATATTGTTTGTTTTATGAAGGCGAGGTAATTCAGTTTATTCATTGATTTCTGCTTGTAGGAGGTACCGGAGATTGAACCCAGGACCTCTTGCGTGCTGAGCCTGCGCCCTACCACTTGAGCTATACCCTTCCCCTGCCTCCCTTTTTTTTATTTAACTGCAAAGCAAATGTTATTTTATATATCACCAGCCATGAATTTGTCATTAGTTATTACATAAATGCTGCCTAGTGCCATTAACCAAATGGCAGGACCATTTTACATCTGCAATTCACCTCTGTCTTTACACACAGAATTTTCATGATTTTTAAAAGGCTATCTATCAGCAAAGTTTTAACGTTGAGATGTAATCTAGCATCCATAATATCTGGTGTTCTGCAGATAGCAATGTAGGAGAGAAGTATTTTAATCTCCTGTCATTTGAGTGACTCTATGGAAAAAACAAATCAGTAATTTAGAAGCTCTAAGTCTTCAAAGTCGATTTTCAGATGCACTTATAGAGGAATTCCAATGCAAGGGAGGTAACATATTTGTCATAGAGAACTAAGGAAACAAAACGGCTCAGAGCACATGCTCTGTGGCCCTTACAAGCTGAGTGAACTTAAGTTATGTAACCTCTCTGTGCTTATTTTATGAACTGTGAAATGAAGATACTTTTAGTTATTATAAAGATTGAGGAAATATACTGAAAGAGTGAAAATGAATCTAGTGTTTATAGTGGGAAGTCAATAGGATGTTTCTAACAGACCACACCAAAGCTACAAAATGACTAACAGTGCCTTCTCCTGACTGAGTTCTGTTTCCTCACCAACATCATCATTGGTCTCACTTTGTCCTCTTTGCCTCCAGAACAGAATTATGGTGATGCCCAATTGCTGAATTGTTCTTGCTTCTTGATAACACAGATTTCAGAGCAAGTCCCTGTTTCCCTGATGCCGCCTTGAAATAACCCAGCATGAGTCCAGATCTTGTAACTCATTAGGACAGAGACATCCTCAGGTGTCTGCTTTCTCTCCCTGTAGCAAGCTAACTGAACTTCACCTTGTTTGAGTTCAGGTGTGCTTCTGGTCGTCCTTGACTGATGGGCTTCCACTATACTGAGCACACATTACAGCACACTGTATGCACAAGACATGCTAGCCAAGGGCAGTAGTAGGCAAGTCTTTTTTTTCCCTGGCTTGTTGCATGAAGCACACCTAGAATATGCTTGTTCAATAAAGGGCTATTCTCAAGTAACTGGGAAGCCAGCTATCGTGGCTAGGAAGAAGAGATGTCATTTTTCCTCCAAGACCCAAAGTGTTATTGTTAGGTGTCCACGGTAACTGCAACAGCAATTGGTGGACTGGCACAGCAGGCAAAGCAAAGATTTCGAAGTCCAAGTAGTTACCAGAAGTTGACCATTGGCTGGACTTTTTAAGCCAGGCTAACCAGATCTCTAATAAAATGAGGGTGTTGAAATAGCTAAACTTTTAAGTTCTTATTTCCAAAATTTCTACAAACACCCATATGACAAAGAAGGAAACAAGCTTTTGGAGTAATAGAACGAATGCCCAAGACACACACATGGTGATTAGGCTGGCTCTGGGACTCAGGCCAACGCATTATTTATACAGAAGGTGTATAAGGCATCGATTGCTGCATCACAAATCGTTCTAAAACTTAGTGACTCAAAGTAAGAGCAATCATTTATTCTCTCTGGCAATTTCTTCTGGTCAAGAACCCGTGAGGTCCCTGGCTGGATGGTTGAGGCTAAAAGTCTTTCATGAGTTGCATGGGACTGGAGGAACCACTTACTACCTGGCTCACTCCTAGCTAGAGAGTTGACTCCTCCTCACATGGGCCGACTGCAGGACATGACGCTGGTTTCCCCCACAGGGAGCCATCCAAGACACCAAGACAGAGAAGCAATGCCTTTTATGGCCCGGCCCTGAAAGTTACACATCATCTACGGGTCCATATTCTATTAGCACATACCAGCCCTGATTCAGCCCCGACTCTGCCCAGGTGCCAGCGGTGCTATTTTGGACCAGCACCAAAATTCTAGGTCTCTGCGTTCCCTCATTTGTTATCTAAGAACAACTTCCGTTCGGGGCTATTCTGAACGTAAACCAATAAACTGTCAAGCGCTGCTTAGTATAATGAGCTGCCCCACAACAGGAGTCATTTCGAAATGATTTCGCATCCTTAGAAAGCCCGTCCCAGGGTCGCCTTATTCTTCTTAAGTTGAAACGCCGAGCCTCCCCTTTTCCCAACCCTGTAGAGACGAGTCAGGCAGACCCCGCCTCCCCAGCCCGACTCCCATCCGAAGGAGGACTGTTCCAGAGGTGGAACTCTAGTTCCCGGGGCGGGTCCGGCGCCCGGAGCGCAAGCGAACGGACCGGAAGTGGCTCCGGCAGTTCTTCTTCCGTCCCGGAGGGCACCGGCGGGACGCGGCGGGGCGGCTCTGGTGGGCTCCGCGGA